GAAAGAGAATAGAGGGCGATAGAAACCAAAACTACATCATCCTTTGGTGATATAGAAAGAGAGAATATTTGATGTCAAGAGACGACAAGAGATGGGGGTGGAGGGGGCCCTGACTGCCCCCTTCTCTTGTCTGGCCATCCCCTAGGCCCCAGCTGCCTGTCGCACGGCCCAGATCTTGACCCAGTACTGCGTGGGTGCCAACTACACGTGGCTGCTGGTGGAGGGCATCTACCTGCACAGCCTCCTGGTGCTTGTGGGAGGCTCCGAGGAGGGCCACTTCCGCTGCTACATGCTCCTCGGCTGGGGTGAGCCCCGACCCTGTCCCCTGCCCAGCCCAGCGCGCCTCCCCTCTCCCCAGCTACCCTGCTGGTCTACCTCAGGGGGTCTCCTCTCCTCTCTAGGCTTCTGCCTCCCCTTCCCGGCGGGGGAATTCCTCGGGTCTTGGGCCTGGCGGGGCCCGTGCGCGCTCTGACAGCTGCGGCGGGGTGGGGGGCGGGGGTTGGGTCTGCACAGGGGCCCCCGCGCTTTTCGTCATTCCTTGGGTGATCTTCAGGTACCTGTACGAGAACACGCAGTGAGTCGCGGGTCTGGGGCGGGGCTTGGGAGGTGGGCGGAGCTTTGAGGGACGCGGGAGGGGTGCGATGGAAACGTGGGGAGGTTCTAATTGCACCTAGGGACCTGGGTGGGTTCTAAAGGAACAGGTCGCTTAGAAAGTTGGGTTCCAGGACTACGGGAAGGGGAGGGATGAGGGCTGGGCCTAAATAGTAGCGGGCGGGGCTTTAAGGAAATGTGGGTGTGGCGTTAAGGAAGGTGGGCGGGGCCTGGGGAGTTAAAGTGCTTAATTCAGCGAGCCTAAGGTTTTCTGTCCCTTAGCTCTACTCCCCCTCCTCCAGGTGTTGGGAGCGGAACGATATCAAGGGCATTTGGTGGATTATAAGGACCCCTATCCTGCTAACCATCTTGGTACGGCCGGCCCCACCTCTTTCAGGCTGGTCTCAGGGATTTCCTATCCTGGGAAGCCGGGGCGGTGGCGGGTAGGGCTGAGAGGGAGGAACTGGCTCCGTCTCTCTCTCTCTCCCCACGCAGATTAATTTTCTCATCTTTATCCGCATCCTTGGCATCCTCGCGTCAAAGCTGAGGACACAACAGATGCGCTGCCCAGACTACCGACTGAGGTGAAGGAGGGCGGTGGGGATGGAGGGGAAGGTGGCTGGGTGTAAGATGGGGGACCCGGGGCCGTGGGACCACTGCCACCCTCTACCCCCAGGCTGGCTCGCTCCACGCTGACGCTGGTGCCCCTGCTGGGCGTCCACGAGGTGGTGTTTGCTCCCGTGACTGAGGAACAGGCCCGGGGTGCCCTGCGCTTGGCCAAGCTCAGCTTTGAGATCTTCCTCAGTTCTTTCCAGGTGCTTAAGCAGGGTGCAGGAGCTACACCCTTTGACTTGGGGCCCTCCTACTCAGAGGGGCACGAGGGTTACAATTATCCTCTGGCGCGGCCACAGAATGGGGTGTGAAGATGGGATTTTGTTAATTCATTCTACACAAAATACTGAGCTAGCGCCGTCCCCGGGCTGGGGAAGCAGCAGAGAGGAGACAGGAGACCAGGCAGCCCCAGCAGTACTGCCTCCCGGTTAAGATAGAGGGCTTTGAGGCCAGCCAGGGCTGGGGCCAAATTTGGGTTGTCACTCCCAGCTCTGTGGCCTTCACCTCAGGGCCAGGGCAAGGGTGAGGCATCTGAAGTACCTAAAGCGCAAATTTTAAGGAAGTGCTCCCTGAAGTTGAAGGCCCACCCTGCCCGTGCTTGCCCTACCCTAGCCTCCACCCTGCTTTTTACCTTGTTGGGCCTCAGTTTTCTCATCTCCAAAGTGGGGACAATACTTGTCTCATTTCATAAGGCTGTTCATTCATTACATTCAGCAAAACTTTATTGAACACTTACTATGTACCAAGCACTCTTCCAGGCTTACTATGGGGATACAGCCAAGAACCAAATGGTACCTGCCCTCTAGTGGGAGAGACAGATGCTAAAGATGCTATATAAGTAAAATATACAGAATGTCAGATGGTGAGACGTGCCTAAAGGAGGGGGGAAGAAAGCAAGAAAACAGAGATGAGGAGCCAACAAAGAAGGATGGGGTTATAGACAGGGGGTCAGGGAAGGCCTCGCTGAAAAGACACTGGAAGCAGAGACCCAAAGATGAGGGAACAAGCCAGGAAGATATTTGGGGGAAATGTTCCAGAACGAGAAATGCGAAGTGCAAGGTGGTCTCTGAGGTGGGAGAGAGTACCCGTCATGATGGAAGAAGGTCAGCATGCCTCAGCAGGGGGAGCCAGCGAGAGCAAGCGGGGGG